CTGCGCAGAACCCTCAAGCTCCCAGGCCTCTGGTAGAGGACCCGAGCTCAGAGGAGAGACCACCCGCGGAGGAGAGAAGGGACAATTCGCGTTTCTGTGTTCACATTTATTTTGGTTTCAGTTTGACGAGCATGGCATACACAATTATGAGGTGACTTCCAAGTAGACAACTGTTCAGCAGGCAGTCGTCAATTCCCTCCACAAAGACAGGGAGCCACAAAAGTGCTTTATCCAAACATATTAACAGAAAGTTGAGTGGAAGGAAAAACTCCAGCAGAAAGGACTGTGAAGTGAGGCGCTTTTTGCTAAGATTCACAACGCTCATTACTAGATATCACAAGACAAAAATAACCAAAGCAAACGCCAAATATGTTGTCAAAAGAAAGAGTGCCATATCAAATGCTACTGTAAAGTTAAGTGGAAGGAAAAATAGTTGCCGTAAAATCTTGAACCAAAGCCAAGCAGACACAGATGCATTGAGAATATATCCTTCAACTTTCGCCTTCCTTATGTCGAGCCATTTCTGTACCAGAGACAAGGCGTTCTCGTTGCTTGAGGTCAAGTGGAAGGTAAACTGTAGTCGCCATGTCACCGGCAGTTTGTCCCGCTGTGTTTTATCAAGTCCAGTCATATTTCAATGCACTTTATGTCTGCCTCTAGTGACAAACTTCAGTGAGATGCTGATTACATTTTCCAGCAGGACTCGACACCACACTGTCAAAAATACCAATACCTACTTTAATGACCCATTTATCACTGTGACTGACTGACGGCAAAACTGGTGAGACCTGAGTGCATATACTGTACAGTACATCGAAATACCAGTAATAAAATGTACTTTGTGTCTTTTGTTTAGCACCACGGGTAATGTACAGATTTGAATAAACATCATTGCATTTCAATTTTTGAATTGAATCACTGAACTAATTGACGTTTTGCCCACTGAAAGCAGGTAATACCGATGTGAACTCAGCATTTCGGTCACAATGTCACAATATTTCCCTCCTTTGCTTTTTCACCTCGTCATGAAGTCAGTCAGACGGCCAGCCAGTCAGTCAGTCAATCAGTCGGGCAGTCTGCTGTTTGGGCGGGGTGGAGGATTGTAGACGGGCCCTTTGTTTGAACAGAGGAGCCCCAGACACAACAGTGGCCAGCCCCAGCCCCTACACAATGGCCTTCGGCACAAAGGCCCACACACTGGGACAATGGGGCCCGAGCTCGGAGGTGGGGGGTCGGGGGAGGTTTGATGGAACGGCTGGGTTGAGGTTGTCCACCTGCACGCTTCGGAACCGGACAGTCCCCACCTTTCCCACCAGCCAGCTCGCCCACACACACAGAGACCACTTCCACCCCTCATGACCTCATAACACACCGGCGTTAAAGAATATGAATAAAAACAAGCTGCTGCAGGTGTCCTCCTGCACTGGAGGCATGAGGAGGAGGCAGGGAAATTCTGTGCAGTGAAAACCTTTATTTGGGTTTTTACAGCCAAAGATGTGCAGTGACTGAAACTGAGACGCTCAGCAGTCTGGTTTCAGGCAGCAAGGAGAGGCAGATTAGAAAAAGATGAAATCAAGGCTGCACGTAAAATGTAATAATAATAATAATATATACACATACATATATATATACACATACATATATATATATATATATATATATATATATATATATATATATATATATGCATATAATATATTATATGCATTGTTTCCTAAATTTTACATTGGGGAAAAAATATTTAAATGTATTTAAGTGCTAAAATACAGACATTTTATATAATATACAATAGTACTCTTTAATTTATCTCAAACACACACCTGTTGTATTTCTATAGATTAGGACACTGTGTGGATTTCCATTCATTTCTGTCAAAAGCTAATTTACACTATAACAGCTGAATTAGACTTAATTTTTTTTAATGTGTCCAGAATAAATATTGACTGAACCCAAAAAGCGACATTACACTACATTTGGACTGGGGGTTTGATGATTAAACCAGAAAGACTTAAAGAAGGACTATAAACAACTACATACACACACACACACACACACACACAGTTAAGAATACAACAAAATATAAAATAAAATGTTTCCCGTCTATATTTCCCAGTCCAAGGGGTAAGTTGCTGAACACTACTGGTTGCACTCAGTGGTCTGCTTTCTAAACTGCTCTCTCATTGGACAAACCTAGCGTCAATCATTCAGCCTCATTGGGAGACTCACCTCACTGATTTTTCACCCAGCAGCTTTAAAAAAAACAAACACCCCAAATAGAAGTCTGAACGGTAAAAACGTTTTAAGAAAATGCATGTGTAATTTTAATTCCTTTATCCAACATAGTGCATTTAGCATATGCTAAGCATGGACTTTTTATACCCAGTGTAAAAAGTAAAAAAAAAAAAGTCCAACTTTAATTTTCTCTTTTATTGATTGCAACATCTTTTAATCCACACATTACAAAAATGCACAACAAATATCAGGCTCAGTCTGCAACCTTATAAGGAGGAGGAAAAAAAAAGATCTACCAAATAAAATATGCTTTAACAAAATAAAAACAATTATAGTAACGTAAATGCCACTTTGGATAACCGTAATCAAGAACCCATTTTTTTTAAAAACTCTACATTAAAAAAAAAAAAAAAATCTTGACATAAATAAGTTAGTATAATTTCTCAGTGTTTTTTGTTTTAATTCTTTTTAACAAAATATGTACAGATGTACACTGCAAAAAAAAAAATGTCTACACAATTACACAGGCCTGGCGACTGCATTTGTAGGATGAGCCGTTATTCGTCAAATACAGGAGAAGCTTTGAGATACTCAGACTTGCATCCTCAGCAGGTTTAAAATATTGGGGCAGGAGGGAATAAGAGATGGAAGAAAAAAAAGCACCTAAGTTATCACAAAGAAATACAATGTGAAGTCATCTACATAAAAGCAACCATGTATTTGGTATTGTAGGAGATATAACCGCTTTCTAAAGTAAAAACCCTTCCATCTGCAAAGCAGTAAGGCACATCAGGGTAGAGTCAATAAGTTCGCATGTCCTTCCGTAAATATCTCAGCTAGTCCAACGCATCTGAGGAGTGCAGAACTACAACAGGGAGGGGGGAGAAAGGCCCAAACTAGTGCTTAAAAGCAACTCTAAAAATAAAAAAATAAATAGAATATCCTCACTGATTTGTTTTTGTTTTTTTTTAAGTTTCCTCCGCTTAAAAGAGCTAAAGATTGTGGCCAAAAAAAAAATAAAAAAAAATAAAAAAAAATAATAAATGAGCTACATTTGTACCATTCTTCAATGTCGAGTTAGGAAAATGACGGAGTGAAGTCACGCTGTAAAGAAACCTTAAGAAGCCATGATTTGTTTTTGTTTTTTTAAAGTGTAGCAATTAGGGACCGTGTCAACTTCGCACGAGCAAAACAGCATTTCCAAAAAAAAAAAAAAAAAAAAAAAAAAAATTCAAACTACACTGCAATTCTTCAAGTCAAATCAAATTTCACACTTTTAGCATAAAGGATTTGTTTCATAAATCATAATGTTTCTTATGTGCTACATATGAAGAGAAATATATATTTATTAATTTATATACACAGGTAGTAAAAAAAAAAAGAAAAGAAATATAAGGAGCAAAAAAGGAAATCCAACCTAATTGCACACTGCTACATCGACTGCTGTTAGAGGCAGTAACATTTAACTGAGTGCCAAAAACTTTAGTGTTTCTATTCAGTGCTTCAACAGCGTCCTCCCCAGTCTTCAGGAGAGCTGATATGTTTCTGATGCTGCGTAGATCCTCGTCCAAAAGGGAAAAAAAAAAAAAAAAAACAACACTGAGGTCTCCCACATTTAGGGAAAAACAAGGGGGAGGGGGCATCTTCTCTGTGGGGCGAGAACAAGGAAGAGAGAGAGAAGAAAAACATGCAAGTTAGTACAGCAGAACATTGTGTAACATTTTCTGTAACAACAAAAAAAAGAAGTTGAGTTTTTCCCCAAGGATGCATTTCCTGATGTGGAAAAACTGTTTTAAGAGCCTCAATGTGAAATACAAAAATATTATTTTTGTAAACATCAGAAAGTATGTTTTTTTGTTTTGTTTCTGTAGTTTTAATTTCTAGAAGCTACTTTTACATTTTAAGTCATATTTTGTGAGCCTCTCCAAGTGTTTTTTTTTTAGCTCATACAATTAAGATGCGGGTTAGCTTCCTGTTTTAATATATATATATATATATATATATATATGTAAGTCAGAAATTAATCTAAAAGAAAAAACACATACACAAAATGTTAAGTTAACATTAAAAATATACATAGTGGAAGTTCTAAATTTATTTCCACATTTATAAAAAAATAAATTTCTTATGTAAAAGGAATTCAAAAAATATTATACCTGCCTCTACTGTTTAGGTTTCATTATTTGTTTTATTAAAAAATATATACCTTTTTCATATATATATATATATATATATATATATATATATACACACACATCTTCAAAGTGGTAAAAAAAAATTTAACCAGACCCTCTCTTCACTGTGACCCACTTGATTTTTGATTTCAGACCTGCACGCTATTCTCCCCCTGCAGGGAGATATGTGTGTGTGTGTGTGTGTGTGGTAACAGGAGTGTGTGAGCGCAGCGTGTGCGTGCGTGTGTGTTTTTGCAGCTCTCGGAGAGACCAGCCCCTTTCCGTCCCTGCTCTGCTGTGAGGGCAGTGGCTGCTGACGTGTTACTACTACACTGTTGTTCAGCACTTGTTTACAGTTAAGTAGGAAACGAGCAGCACCAAAACACCTGCAGTTAAAGGGCTAAAAATAATGTCCAGCTCAGTTTTGTTTTCCTTTTTATTGTTTTCACTCGCAACGTTTGTCTGTCTGGTGTTAATGGGGCAGAACTTTTATCGATAAAACTCCACGAGTCGGCAAAATGTTCCGTTTGGTTGTCAAAAAATAAATAAATAAATACATACTAATTTTATAAAGTAAAAAGTGCCAAGCATAGAAAGGGCCACGGTATTTTCCTTTTCTTGTTTTCTAAACCACGTATACCTAATGTTCGTCTCTCTGACATCGTGTGTGGAAAAAAGGGGGGTTAAAATATAATTTAATTTTCTTACCGTTTTGCTAGTCCTCACGTTTGCCTCTTGGGACTGGACTTTCTGGGTGTGTGTTCAACAGAGTGGCTCAGGGTTGGACAACTAACTTCATCTGGGCTGCTGCGTGACCTCTTACTTTGCGCCGTGGTGTCTGCGAAAAATAAAAAAAGCTTTTTTTTCCATTTTACTACTTTCCATATTGATGCATTTATGAAAGTAATATGCCAAAACCGTGAGACTATCTATTACACAAATTAGAGCTGAAAACATGTATAAAAAAAAAAGAAAAAGGAAAGAAGTAGTACCGTGACACGGTCTTTTCCTCAGCCCGGTGCACTGCTCCGTACACTCAGTCAGTACGTCAGACATGCTCGTATCGCAGCTATGATTCCCGTTTAGATCCACATTGTTATTCCCAGAGCAGACGCCTTTCTCCCTCCGCGGGGGCCGCACGTAGAAATCCGGGACCTCAGCGGGGTCCACTAGTTCCCATGTGAGCCTGGCGTTAGGCAGCGGCTTGTCACTGGCAAAGTCGAAGCCCCACTTGGCGGACGCAGCCTCCTGCAGCTCCCGCATATGTCCCTTTAAATCCCTCTTTAACTCTTCGTGGTCCACTGAGCCGAAGAGGCTTCGGCAGGCTGACGGCTTCGGGTGTTCCGTAACCCGGGGCTCCGTCCGTTCCAACGTCGGGCTTCCGTTTGAAAGTCGAACGTCTGACATTTTACCCCCCAAAAAAACTGAATCTTCGAGCAGCCAGGAGCGTCCGGTTTTCATAAGAAAAAAACACGTCGCCGGAGAGTGAGAGAAGAAAAAAAAAACAAAAAAACAACGGGTATCTCCTCGTCACGGGGGGAAAGATCCGAAACAGGCGTGAAACGGCTTATGCCATGCGTATGTCAAGCTGGAGGCGCAAACGGCTTCTGCGGTGTTCTGACGCCGAAGATAGTCCCCGCGAATCATCAAAACAAACTGCAGAGGAACCGAAGGAGCTCTTGTCAATTCCGTCCCGGACTGAGAGAAACTGCAGAGTAACCTCAGTACCCAATATGGCGATTCAGAGGCGTTGTGGGGACGGAGAGAGAAGGCTGGGCTCGGATGGAGGAGGGCCAGCGCATGTGATTGACACACAGAGCTATTTAAATCCCAGCGAGGCTGTTCATTTGCTGAACGCAGAGGCCACGCCCATGTTTTTTTTTAAAGCGCCAGCATTTTAAGTAATCTGGGCCAACTTTGTAAATAAGCTTACAGTTCGACACAATTTCAATCTTGATCAGCCGGGAGGTATTAATAATAATAATAAAAAAATCATTTTAAGACAGTTAACTAGTGTCTGTATGATTTATGAACATGCTGTCTGGATTTGAACTGCATTTTCAAATATTTTTATTTCACAGTAAGTCGTTTGCTATGAAAACATAAAATAAATTACAGAGCAGATTGAGTATTACATACACTGCAAGATTAAATTGAATGTTTCAACTTTAAAAAAAAAAAAAGTGAAATGGCTGAGTTTTGACAGCTGACTGAACTTCTTTGGTAATTGCTAAAACTTGAAAGTTTTACCAGCTTGAGACAGAAAGCTGTGCAGTGGTCACGTGGTTCTGTTTTTGATGTTATTTGAATAACCTTTTCAGCTCCCCTCACTGATTAGCTTTAGCCTGTAGCTGTTGGCTTCAATTCCCCTCCACCCCCCCCCCCCAAAAAAAAAAAAAAAAAAAAAAAAACATGTATTCCATGATCATGGTACAGTTAATATATCTAGGTTGCATTTTATATACGATAATCACTACACATGATGCATAGAAAACCACATACATTTGATCGTATCTTTGTTCTTTAATTATGTGTGTATTCTTGCCATTTTTTTGTTCTTTGCCAGCAAAACACGTTGAAAGCACTTGATAAATGCATTATTAAATATTGGTGAATGTAAAATTTAAATTATAATTTGCAAAAACAAATACCAAAAACAGAGATAAAAAAAAAACAATCACATTTGCAGAAAAGCAAGAATTTCTTCTGAAGCAACAATATTGGATAGGGAGTATTTAAGTAAAACTTATTTTCGAACTCAAACTGCATCATAAACTGTCTTTCCCCCAACATGAGAGTGTTGTCTCCTGAAGTGTGTAAGTTGTGTTACACTCCACAGAAGTAAAAAGAAGAAGAAGAAGAAAAAAATTAAAACTGCAACAAAACAAATGCACCATAATTAAACAATTTTTAAAAACAATAATTTGCTTAAAATAGGACCGTAAGCTTTTTGGGAGAAATGATGCAATTTAGTTTAATGGTGAGCAGCTGTTTACTTGAAAGTTTACGGTAGGATAAATGTTAGGTGCTCTGTGGACGGCCACACAGGCAATGTCGCCCTCTAGTGTTCACTGCCCCAAAAGTCTGCTGCAGAGGTAAGTCAACAGAAAAACATCTCTTTACCAAATGTTGTTTTAATAGCAAATCTTTAGATAAACAGCACATCTACATATGTACGTATATATAACACTAAACGACCATCCACTTATCAGTCCATCAACATCTCCCACAGACTCTTCTCAAGTTTTTCCTCCTACCTTCCCTGTAAGTCAGTGGAGCAGCCTCAGAGGCTGAGCCACTTGACGATGTGAAAGTTTTTCTTGCCCACTCTGAGCAGGGTGAGTCCATTAGACAGTATGTGGATGTTGGGGATGAGGACCTGCTCCGGTTTGTCTTCTCTTTTGTGGTTGATCCATACTGCTCCTTCTGAAATCATCCGATACCTGAACGCAAGCGATCACACGATAAGATTCAGGTAAAGCAAGAACTTTTAACTACTTAAGCTTGTATGTCTGACAAGCTACAGCAGTCTGGTCATTCAGTATATTCAGGTAGTCTGCGGACCTCATTCTTTGGGCTCATAATGTTGCTGGACCTACTAGACCTGATCAACTCCAGCATTGCCCCTAAAGGCTGGTACAGTAGACACCAGCTCTCTTGGAAAGTGAAACTATTTTCCCCAGTTAGCTTCAATGATTAAAAGTTTTCTTATGGCCAGACAGCAGTGCAGTTCCAATTCCTTGTGTTCTTACTTTCACCATTAAACATGTCCCTGAGTCCTACTGTTCTTCTTCCCATTGCTTTCACCAAACATTTAGGTGATTGCCAAACACGATCATTCGGGATTTTCTTTACCCCCCAACCACATCTCTTCCTCAAAGATGATGGTTTCCCACTTTCCTTCCAGTGTTTAATAAATCGTCAAGCACTTTTTGACCAAATTTTTCAAGAAAACGCCATCAGCTCTGGCGTTTTCTCTACTTCACGCACACTAGTGACCCTTCTAAAACAGACTAACATCTTTTCCACAAGCATGGGATGAGTCCTTGGACCTGGTTAGTTAAGAAATTCTGAGTAAATACAACCAAAACAAACCTGTGTGTGTAGCGTCAATGGGAGAAATAACTCGCGGTGTTTTACAAACAACAAAAGTGAGATCCTACGACTAAAATCTGATGCCTTTCCAGTTGTTTCATGAAGAAGAAAGTTGCACCCATTTTCTTCTTCAGAGGTTTTCTTTCAGTGAACCAGCTTTCCTAACTGCTGATGAAAAGCAACCCCATAACCAATGGCAGCGCTCTGTTACAGTAAGTGCTCATGACGAACCTACCCTTTGGGCCCATCAGGGATGGCGCTGGCCTTACGGCAGGCGTCTAGCACCGTGGTCCCCGGCTCCAAAAGCATTTCTTGGAAAGGAGCCTCCCTGAAGAGCTCCTGAAGCTCCTCGTCACTCATTTGCTCCAACGCCTGAATGCTGCTGTGATACAACGCATTGGTACATCTGCAGGGACAAACAATACAGCTTTTAGACAGCTCCTCCAGGATTTTGCAATCGTTTTTGTGATTTACAGTTGTCAAAAATCTCATATTCTGTGGGGCTGCTTTAGAAATATTTCCTCATTAATCCTCATCCAAAATCTACATATAAGAAGAAAAATATATATTCACATTTATTGACCACGGACTCTAACTTGACATCAAGCAAAGGTAGAGGCAGCAGTGCAGCACAAGCAGAGGTTAAGCTAGACTTTTTCTTTGTCCATCATTTTGACCAATGAGATCAAAAATATTCCCCAATAATCAATTTTTACCAGTTAATTTTTTTATGTTAACATGTTCAATTGCGTTTAATTTTAATTTGGTTTAACTAATAATAATTGCAATAAAGCAAAATGAGTTATTGTGACGGGTCTAGTCAAAGATGGAAAATGTTCCTTTAACACGACCTGTGAGAAATACTGTCACCTGCAGGTGGGAGTTAGAAGTCACCTAAACTCAATGTTTTTTGGGGAAAATTTGGTGCAACGCTTAAAAAGAAAAACCTCCGCGGACCAATTCTGACCTCTTGGCGCTCTCGAGGCCCTCCTTTCCGTGCACCAGTTTGGTCACCTCTGCAGCCAGTCGTTTGTGGGCGAGACGTTTGCTTGGGTCCTCCCTCTGCTGCTCCATCAGCTTCTCCACCTCCTCCAGGGGCAAAAAGGTAAACAGCTTCAAGTATCTGCAAAACACCCACACAATGCACTTCAGCTTCCTTGTCACTGTGGTTCAGGCATCCACAGAAGCGGGGAGCTTTATTCTTTGCGTACCGCTCCACGCTGGCATCCGACTGTCGGAGGAAGAACTGGTAGAGCTCGAAGGGGGACGTCTTGTCTCTGTTGAGCCACACCGCGTTGCCGGCGGTTTTCCCGAGCTTGTCACCGGTGGTGCTGGTCACCAGCGGGATGGTCAGGCCATACACCTCCTCACCGCTTACTCTTAAAAAGAATGTTTTAAAAATTGATTTGAATGGTTACATGGGAGAATATGGTAAAACTAAATTGCAGAGCTGGTCATAACAAGAGATTAGGTAAAGCAGAAACATGGGGAGGCGATTATTTCATTCTCCCCACAGTTAAAATGATGTGGCGATAGTGGTATCATATTGTAGAGCCAGATAACATGAATAAAAAATAAATAAATTTGAAAGCGTGAGGAAATATTGACAAATGAGATTTTCATTGCTTTTCTGTTTGGGATAAGTAATTTTAAACAAACACCTTCGCACCTCAAACAAAATCATGCCTACTAAGACAGGAAACAGCGGTAAATATGGATGACGATGCAGCGGCTGAAAACATCTCATGGTAATGAAAGAGCAGATTGTTTTGACGAAAGAAACGGGTGTGGCCACTTGATTGCAAAAGATAGAGAAAAATGTATAGTCAGCACATCTGCAGCAAAGTTCAACAGTGCAGGAAACGTCAATAATGAGTCGTGTGGAAGTAAACGGATGGAAAAGAAAATCGAACACGTTTTGCTCCTGAATAATGAAACAATTACGATCTTGTTTGGAAGCTAACAAACAGCCCAAACTTGAAGGATGAGGTTGGTTCAAGCTATGGATAGCTTGGTCAAGGAACACTAAAGTGGACTACGGTTGTTGTTGTTTGTGACCATAAAGTTTATCAACCAAAAATGAAAAAAATAGCTTTCTTTTACAGTGATTTTTACTATTGCTCTCTGTCAGTACAAAATATCCACTGACGTCCATCAATTTCCCTTCAAACTGTCCTCGGTACATTCAGCTACAATTATTAGCTTCAGGTATGACTTCCCTTCCATCCAGCATATGCATCATTAGCTTATAACAACATGTTAGGACTAAACTAGATGTTTTGCAGTTTTGAATGCTTAAGTGTACTTTAAAAAATGTTAAAGCAGCTCATGATTAAAATGTAGCAAGTTTTTTTTTGTATGCGAGGCTGGAACAACTGCTGAATAAGTAGTTAGTCTAAAGTAGGCGATTCAACGTGCTGAAGTTTGCCTGTGTATATCAGAGTAAAAATGCTGGTCAGAACTGGAGCACAAATGGAGAAATCTGTTTGAATGGTGCCAGCGGTTTGGGATATCTATGTGGGATGAATTACAGGCAGGCAAAACTGGTTCTGGCTGTGAAAAACTTTAAACTGGTATATAAGTTTACTTCTCAGGTGGAGAAAAACCCTGAAAATATAGCCAAAATCTGTGTTAGAATGGCTCAGTCAAAGTCAAGGGCTGAATCCAATTGAGAACCTGTATGAGACCCACTCAAGTTTTCACTTGTGAAACCTGCAACTAATTATTTGCATATCAAAATACACAACCAGGGATATCCGGTCATTTTTTTATTCCGATTTCCTAAAGCAGCCTGGAACAAAGCTGGAAGGGAAATTTACTTGTGAATGTACTCATGTCCGGACATCAAATTGCCCAGCTGGTCGGTGCCTCCGAGCTGAATCCTGCAGCCGTATATTTGGTGGAGGTGGTAGAAGTCATAAGCTTGGAACACCTGGTAGGTGAACTCTGTCAGGCTCATACCGTCTGCGCTCCTCAGCCGGGACTGCACGCTGTGGCGGCTGAGCATGGTCCCCATCCGGAAGTGCCTGCCGGTCTCCGACAGAAAGTCCACCACTTCCCAGCTCTTATACCAGCTCCGGTTGTTCAGCACGTTCACCGTGCCCAGCGGCCTCGAGCGGTCGTGGAAAAGCACCTCGTGGTTGATGAAAATCCTCTGAATGCTCTCCCGGATGCCGCGGGTGTTCTCCTCCACCACCTCCGCGGACAGCCGCTCGCGCTCGCTCGTTTTCCCGCTCGGGTCCCCGATTTGCGCCGTGGCCCCTCCGAGCAGCGCGACGACGTTGTGCCCGGCGCTCCGGAAGTGGAGCAGGCCGATAATGGCGAGCAGGTTGCCCACATGGAGGCTGTCGGCTGTGGGGTCGAAGCCGCAGTATACAGTCTGAGGAGCGGACTGGAGCAGCCGGGGAAGCTGGTCCTGTGCTGCGTTTTCTGGGAAAGAATCCTTCAGGACACCGCGCTTATGTAGCGACAGGAGCAGTCCGCTGGACGCAGCGGCGGAGCGGTGAAATTTAGACCTGAGTGTGAGGAAGAGACGCGCTCGTCTCAGGAGGCTACAGGACGCGTGTCGCGAAACACAACAGCAGAACCCGAGCATGGACACCGCCATGTTGGACAATGTGACGAGAAGGAGGAAGAGCGTAAGATAATTTGATTAATGTAGACTGCCCCCTGCTGGAGTGGTTCTGAATCAGAGCAACCGCAGACATGGCAGTGGCTGCTTATTTACTCAACCAAGAGTCAAGGTCACAAGACTCTGCTATCGTCATTTTGTGGGTCAGATTGGGAACGACTGAATTAAAGAGGAAGTTTTGGATTTATGAAGTGGGATTCTATATATATATAAAAAATATCATTCAAATTTAAATTTTTATTAGTATCATCTTTGTACTTTCATAGAAATGAGTATCAAGCATTTTTGTCTTTTTGCGGAAAATATTTAAGCTTTCATCTTCACAGTTGGCTTTTTGCATTTCCAAATGTTTAAAGTTCATGTCTTCAGCATAACACAAGGTGTTTAATCTCTCTTCTGATTCCACATTGTGAGATTATTACTTTTATTACAGATAACAGAGAACTATAAAAATCTACACAAATATCTTTACTATATGCAAGCTACGCTGTAGCCCAGTATGGTCCCAGAGTTTCAGTCTAAGAAATTATTTGTCAGAGAAGCCATTACTTTATTTTAACTGTAAAAGCTCAAATTAGGTGTTCAAAAAAACAACAACCTTAAAAATAATATATTCAAACAGACTCAAGTTGTTCTTTCAAATGTCAACAAACAAAGTAGAGGACTTCAAAATCATTTTATTTTCTTTTTAAATCCATTCAATGTCAATTTGCCTTCTTGCAAAGTACTAACTATGCACGACTAAATACTCAGTACATTCAAAACATTTACAGTATTATTATCCAAGCCATAAAACACACAGATAACAACTTCCAAAGATGCTTTCTGCCTCTGAAGTAGACTAGAGCTGCAGAAATAAACAAGTTGAAGGTCACAAAACAAAAAGAAAAACCTAATTCCTATGACTGCTGCCCCTGGAAAATAATCTGTCTGAACTGGAAAAGGAAAGCCAATTTTTCTTGTATTGTTGCTTCTGTTTATGGGCTCCAAAGCAGAGCAGCACAGACTTATTGTATTAAATTGAGTAAGAAAGACAGGGACAGAGAAACAGTACCTTTCTATATCCTGAGCTAGTGCAACAAAGGAAGACTAAGAATCCCTGATACAAGTTAAAAAGTCCCTTGTCAATTCCACGTCAAACAAACCCCCCGCACCCACAAGAGTACACCAGCTTCACCTCTCGGGCCTTTTTTGTAGTGTTTCATTCATTTTCAGTTTCGCTTTTAAAAACCCTTTTGAGCAAATCCTTCATTTTCATTGACTGACGATCGATTTCTGTTAAAATCTGACGAACCATTCTATAGGTTTCCGTTAGGTCACACGAACAGGTCAATTGTTTACAATTTTTCAATCTTGTGAGTCTTCGACGTTGGCGTGTACACACACACACACACACACACACACACACTAAGGCACATGTTGTTGGTGATTGATCACCAAGCATGATCTGCAAGGTGAAAAACTGAGCTGCATTCGGTGAATTCTTTGCAGTCTGAGACAAGATATACAGTTGAAGCCAGATATGTACATATGTTTTCCCCTGTTTGACATTAAATCAGAGGTTTTTTTCTGTTGTAAATCAGTTAAGATTACAGACATTATTTCCATTTTCTTAACGCCAGAATAACGAGTAAGATCTTTTTATTTGAGAAAAGCATTTGTTTCTGTTTTTTTTTGCCTTTATGCCACTGGAAGAAGTCCAAGATGAGGTTGTTTTGACTTTGTAGGCTTCTGATGGGTAATTCACAATATTTAAGTAAAGCCCTAACTGTGGATATATTTTAAGACAACACCTCAAACACACTTCTTCCTTGTGTGACATTATTCTATGATTAAAAAAATAATAATAAAAAAATAAGGAAATAAATTGTGATTGCAAATATATCTGGTAAATCTCCAGATGTACTATCTGCTTCAATAATTTTATGAAGGCATAAACAACATGGGAATGTCCAGCCGATGTCGTCAAGGTAGGAGACGCATTTCCCAGAGACGAACGTGTTTTGGTGTGAAAGATGCTAGCTGAAGCGCCACTCAGAGACGAAGAGGCCATTATTTAAAATGCCAGATGATAGTTTGCAAACGAACTCGAGGATAAATACCTGCTGGCGACATGTTGATCTGATGAAACAAACATTGAAATGTTTGACCATCATGATCACTGCTACATTTGGAGGCAAAAGTGGGAAGAGAACACCATCTCAACTGTGAAGCACAGCGTTGGCAGTGTGATCTTGTGTGACTGTTTTGCGTCAAGAGGGACTGGTGCGCTTACCAGGAAAGACGACACAGTGAGAAAATAAAAACATTACGTGGAGATGCTGAAGTAAATATGGAATCCTCATTAAAACAATCTCTTACTTTTATTGCAGTGGCCATCGTAAAGCACTGATCTCACTCCTATAGAAAGTTTGTGGGTAAATATGACAATTCATACAGTTTTAAAGGCGACTATCAAAAACTAAAATGTATGCAAACTTCAGAATTTGAATAATTATTCTGGAATTTAGCAAGCAGAAATAATTTTGAGTAATCTTAACTGGCCTAAAACAGAAAAGTTTAGTTTGGTGAAATTAGTTTGATGGAATGTCAAAACAATGAGGCAAAAAAAAAAAAAAAAAGAATTGAAGGTTTATGCAAATATCTGGTTTCGACTCTAAGTGAGAACGTTAGAGGCAGCTTGGAGGTTGGTAATCTATCCGTGGCAGAGCTCATGTTTGAGTTAGTACAACATAGCAGCAAGTCTGGAGAGAAAAGTCAGACAGAAACAAGCTTGGAAAGCAACCTGTTCTAAATTTACATTACTGCATCATCAATACTCTGATAGCATACGACGTGATGGCTAATTATGAGTGCATTTAGACTCTCTGATAGCAAACAGAGATTCAATCTGTCAAAACAAACAAAAAAATTAAAAGACAAAATATTTTGCGGTTGAGTCTGCCAAGGAACATTTGATATTGATAAAAATCTCTGTGCATATATTATCTCTATTTGTATTCTGATGTGCAACCTGAGAAAACAGTATCAAAAGACACGCTATTTCAACGTATGATCAACACTATCCCGTAGCTAAACATTAACAAGACATCTCCTCGTCGTTAAACTATAGCCGGAGACGACGGAGTCAAGTTTTTAAATCAATCACAAAACGTGATAAGCCGGAACAGTCCAAAGCCATCTTCGGTTCAGATCAAAAAGGATTCGGTTCAGTTGCGAAATTACAAAACAGCTGGAAGCAACAGTTTTGATGGCTTAAACCAAAGGAATGTCCCCAGCAGGGTTCAGATTTGTGGATATCCCGATCGCCCCGTTTCACCTTGATTCTATTTACACTTTCAAACTGTGCCATTTCTGAGTAAAACTTTATCAGATATAGTCGTACGTACACGTTTTTAGTATAAAAATATGATCTAATTCAAGTGAAAATACAAACATTAAAGCAACACGAACAAGCAGTACACATTTTTTTGAACGTAAAAGTTTTTAGCAAAATTAGGGATGTGCAGAGTCCATTACTATAATGTGACTTCAAGATTTAGCTTTTAGAAGGGGTAAATAGTAATGCAACTAGCTATGTACAAACACAATGCGATGTCATTAGGGCGTGAAAAAAAGATGAAACAAAAAAACAAAACAAAAAAACGACGCTGCAATAGTCAGAAAAAAGGTTTCACAAGATGAATCCACTTTATGTTACTTTTAAAGCACCAAAATAATGATAAGAATAGTAGAGCTGCACATATGTTGAAAAGAGCCGTAAAATAGTAGAATAATTTGAGTTAAACATTTGTGCACAATTGCTTTCCATACACCATGCATTTGAAGATTTCTTATATGACTGACGAGAACCTGCTCCGATTGTTGGAGGTCTCTTAGTCAAAGCTGTTAGTCCACATTCACTTTAAAGAAATAAAATGTTTAGAAAATATCTTTTTGTCCAAGAAAACTTTGATGTAAAATCTTGTTGGAACTGCTTTATCTGACAGACGCTACATAGAGATTAAAACTACTTACACAAATTTGAATCGTGTAGAGCTGGAGGTAACTTTGCTCGTCCTGTTTAGTAAGATTACAGCGTCAAAAGACACGTAATCCTCATTAAAAATTCAGCTTTATTTTAAATCAAGGTAGACTAAATAATCTGATGGTTATTTAAAGTATTGTTTTTCAAGGGTGGATATTAAACAGATGATCATATGCTTCTCGCATTATTCTTCTGCATGTGTGTTTTTATGTTACAAAATCCAAGTAGACATTTCCCCTCCTTCTGGTGTCAAAGCTAGCATGTTCTTCTTATACAAATGGTTGGGTGACAGCAAAATGCGCGAGTTGCCTTGTTATAAACATGCATTGGGTTACAACTGGGACTGGATGATTTTTGGCTAAACCGCCTCTGACTGGGCTCCGGTCTTTTTCCAAATAGTAAACTCATACTGTAGCGCAACCTGGACAAGCTAACACTCTTTAAGCTAAGGTAAGTTATGCAACGGCGAACTATTTTCAGTGTCAGTTTGAAATTAAGCCAAAGAAACAAGGTTTAGGAAATCTCAGAGTTGAGGTAAGGATCTAACACTACGTGGGGAATATGCAGAAAGGTCGCTGGCATCTCTTCTATGAACATAAAAATCTATGAACAGTTGATGACAATAAAAAAAAGGTATTGGCAGGTTTTCAAAACTATGAAAAAGGCTACAAACTGCTGAAAAACTGATTGGGTACACGTATAAGGACTACATTAAGAAAAAAAAAGCTGTGGGTTTCTTTGTGAGAACAAAGAAAACGGGGGGAGGGAGGCGCTATAGCTGAGGCAATGTGACACAAACAAAAAGAAAATATTAATTTCTATATTTAGGCTTCTGTTGAGATTCTAGCGCGGCTCAAGTTGGAGTCGGACCAAAAACCATGAGCACAAAGCGCAGATGGAGTGTCAAACATCTGAGCGTGTGTTTTTGTTAGGAACGCGGCTCAGACATTTGTGAACAAATCACAGACAAGTTTGTGCTTATGCTGTGCAACAAGATGCAATTTCAAGTCAAAACCCGGTCATCACAATTCAGCTTGCGATCGTGTTCGTACGTTTGCCGACTCCTCGGATGTGTCCGGTTGTATGAAGAAGAACATGCTGGTAGGCTTTGAAGCAGCAGGACTGTTTGGCTGCCAGGTCGAGGTGGTTTAACTGATGCTGACTTTATATGGCTCTTTAACTTCAGTATAAAAATCTCTTTTCGAAACGCACAACTGGAGTGGCAATCATCGAGTTCCCCGTCTTCCCTCCTTTTCAGGGCTCACCGTAGGTTAATAGCTGAGTTTGGTCAGAAATGCTACACAGATTTCTACAAAGTGGCTTTAATCAGACGGTGTTTCACATCTGATCTAGTTCCTTTTTTTTCTGTCTCAGAAGGTTCCAAGCAATGGAGTGGTGAGAAGCCAGACCAACCAAAGGAACCGTCCGCCAGAGATAAGTTCCTTCAAGCTGACCGGAAGCCAGAAGCAAATTCTGCCGCGTCGGAGACGGCACAGCTCAAAGTGGTTGAACCCTAGCTTAACGTGTCTTCTCTGAACGGTTTAGTTTCTGTTCCGTCGGCTGGTTGCTGCAGTCCCTCAGTACATGTCTCTGTAGATCTCCTGTAGAAGCGGGTGCAGGGACGTGTCCTCTGTCTTTTTGATCTCCTGCACCAGCTGCGCGTGCTCCGTGACCAGCTGCCGGAGGTCGGCCAGTTTCTGCAGCAGTTTGGGGAACAGGGAGGTGTCGTCGGGGTGGTTGGCCAGCAGGTGGAGCTGGAGGACGTGGACGATGCTCTCCTGCATCACCTCGATGTGCGACACGTTCACCAGGCCCGGTCGGTCTGAGGGCAGAGGAAGTCAGAGGAGGCATCGTGATTGTCCAAGGTTCAATTTCTCAGAAAATAATGAGATACAGATCAGTTAAAAGGAACGAATCACTGTGTGTGTGGTGAAACTGTGTAACGTATGGTCGTAAAGGGCAGAACAAACCCAACTGTACAAATTTAAAATTTCCCTCTAGCCTCACCTCCGCAGCAGATGATGGCCGCGACAAACAGCGCCAGGTCGCTGTCGTCCAGTTCCAGCGCGTTGAACTTCATAGCGAACTGGAACTTGGGCTCCATCATGTCGCTGAACGGCCGCCGCAAGCTCTTGAGGAACTCCCGGGTGATGAAGCCCGAGCCGTACGCCACGAGGAGGCCGTCTTTGTTCATGCTGGAGGCGAGCATGGCAAAGAGCGCTTCGTACACGCCGTACTTCAGGAGCGTCACCTGGTCATTCAGGTCCAGGCTCGAGAAGCCCGGCACGGACTTCGCGAACTCGGTGAGCTCCGTGACAGTTTCCACCGATGTGCACTGGCAGCAGTGGAAAATCCGAACCTCGGCCTCTCTGTCCTTGAGGGCCCCCGCCGAGCCGACCATCTTGGCCACCAGCGTTTGCTCCGCCAGCTGCAGCGTCTCCATGTCGTGGATCACGAACGGCTGCGGAGGGAGAGCCGAAAGTTCACTTGATTAATCGGGATTAATCAATTATTACAATTTTGTAATCGATTAATCATTAACTAGAGTATATAAACTCTAAAAATGACCCAAACTGTACAAAAAATATATACATTTTTCATTTAAGATGAAAAACCTTTGTCTATAAAAATATTCCACCCAGAACATTATCATTTTCACCCAATTCAAAATTCTGTATTATTTTGCTATCCATTGATTAATCAAAAAAAAAAAAAAAAAAAAAAAATTAGTTAGCTGTATTTTTAGCTGCAGATGCACCCTTTGCTACAGATGACCTAGCATTCACTAAATGAATATTGTTACTGCATTTTAGGCAATAAAAGGTTTTTTTTTTTTTATCAAGTAATTCAATTGTTTGCGTATTGGGATCTTTTGTTGTATGTAAAAAAGCGGCCAAATGAAAAATCTGAAGAATGTGGCAATTCTTTTATCCGATTAATCGTCAGAATAAGCAACAGAATGCAGCCCTACTGATAATGCGTTCAAACTGAAATACGGCCGTCTTTACAGTGCTTACGGCTCAGAGCTAACGGGTAGCAGACGAACATGGAAAATGCTGACTCGGCACAAACGCTGGACGTTTATACATAATCTTTAGTAAGGCAAAAGTCAGAACCCTCAGCCCTTATTGACACGTTGAAATTTACTGTCATGGACTCATTTGTGTGGACGATCGTCTAAATCCTCTCACAACAAACAGAAAGGTAAAATTGTAGCCATTTATATATATATATATATATATATATATATATATATATATATATATATATATATATATATATATATATATATATATATATATATATAATTGAGACAGA